TTTTATAATTCATAATTTGCTTTAGATATTTCATAAGATTAAAAAAAAAGAATAAAACTTATTAAGTATTGAAATTTGCTTTTTTGTTTTTGTATTTGTAGAGAGAAAATAAAAAACTTCATAAGAAATATATTGCAATAAGTATCTTGAAAATATGTTGGCGTTAGTTCACAAGTGGTCCATCTGGTAGGCGAGTGTTCAAGATCACTTGGTCACACAAGCGCCGAAGTTAGCCGAGTTTGTCCGAAGGCGACCGAACTCAAACATTCTAATTTCTAATGATTTATACAGGCATAATTTTCGCTTATCTTCACTTCTTCCTACTAATAAGTATAGACAACAGCGTGAACTGAATTATAAATAACGTTGTGGTTATAATTTTTGTCAATGATCGAATATAAAAATAAATATAATCGTATATTAACAAGGCAAGTAACATATTTTATAGGAAATTCCTTTCGTGAAGTTGGTGGCTTCTTAATTTAGCTGCAATTGGAGTTGGTTAGGCGCAGACTTTAAGGGGCGATCCCCCCTCCTCCTCAATTAAAGTGAAAATGGGACGAGAATATCGTTTCGCCCCAAAATATTTCGAAAAACAAAAAATCAAAATTAATCTACATAATGAATAAAACATGTTAACTAAAATCAGTTAAGACAATATAAAAAATCGATTAGATGGCTAAGTTAAGGCCTAGAAGTAACGCAAGTATTTTACCACGCACTATATCCATATTAATTTAATTTTAGTTTATATTCAAAGATAATTGTATGTAACATACCCTAGGATTTTATTGTAATTGCACTTACCTATATATGACATATGTAATAAGGGAAAGTATTGCGGTCGTGAAAATTTTAGAATCTGATTTTCAACGGAAATACATGTTATGAGGTTCCCTGAGTCGAAATCTCAAGTCCCACAAAATGATCTATGTGTGTGTGTTAACAGTCTACCTCAAAAACGAAAAGTACTAAAGTGAAATTGCATATTCCAGGTTTTTATATGTTTGAGATGTTACAGCAACTTTTTCGTTAAAATCGTATAACCGAAAGTTGCATTTTATATCATGGACTAAACAAAGTTTTATGATTTTCTCTAAAACGACACTAATGATTTTGATTAAATTAATTATAACAGTATAAAATTAAGCAGTTTTAAAAAAAATGTAGGTTTTATTCTCTTTGATGTTTTCTATCAGGGATAATTTCCAATACTAGCTTCCTCTAGAGTACCTTTAATTGTTTTATTTCAAACAATTTCACATTCATCTCTAATATAAAAGATAGTTAAATATAAAATATAAAAGAAATTTGATAATTAACTAAAGGAGAAATAAGAGATCGTAACGGAGAATAGTTGGAATTGAGGAACCAAAGGAATACGAGCGCATCCGAAAGATTAAAACACGCTTCCTTACGTACCATGAGCTTAATATAATAAGGACTGCATATTGAGACACGGGTGGATCTACGGAGGGGCTTTCGGGCTGAAGCCCCTCCTCCCCCCAAAAGGGAAAAATATAACCATGTTTTATGGGAAAATTTTTTTAAACATACCTCTTAAAGTATTATTGTTCGTGTAATTACATTTAAAAGTACTTAAGGAATAACCTAAACACTATTTCATATAGGTGGTTAGTTCCTTTCTGTTTTTCCAAAGTAATTATCGTTATTTTTATGAAAAAAAAAAGGTTTCGAGCTGAAGCCCCCCCCCCCCAAAATTAAATCCTGGATCCGCTAGTGTATTGAGGTATAGTGTATATTAATGTCAATATACAGATACATACTGACGTATCTACGTGGCGTATTTAGAAAATGTAATGCTCTTTTAAAATAATTGTAATAAGTTTCTTCAAGAGATGAATAGAATATGAGTTTTGTGAAAAACAGCTAATAATAACGAAAACAGCTACTTCTGGTGAAATAAGTAAACAGAATAACTTGTTGAAACTCCTCACCTGTGGGTTTTACATTAAAAATCTACTATAAAAATATATAGAAGATTTTTTGTTTTTTAACTTTGTTTAGATTAATAAATTCGATAAAATATATAGTTTCGGAGGCAAGTCCAAAAAACTATAAAAAGTGCGAAAATTTTGCTGTTTTTTTGCATATATCTTGGAACACAATCGAAAATTTCGTTTTAAAACTTCAAATTAAGATTCAACACTCTAAAAAACATATTAAACCGAAGAGAAACCGGAAGAAAGACTATTTAAATTTTTTTTTCACATTTCAGTGTCATTCTACTGGACTAATTTGATATCTTTGACACCATCAGTTTCCAAAACGCAACCGAGTAAGTCAGTCGAGGTGTATATTATCTTTTGGAGACATATTCTTTACATCATATCAAAATTTCAGCCGCAAGTTCTACAGTTAAATGAAACGTCAAATGTCGCCAATTCAATTTAAATTTTCGTATATGGAGCAACGTTTTCAACCGACTGACCGAAGTTGTGAGTTCAGATGAGGTTTATCTACAAATTAAAATGGTTGCTAACTTTATTTAAATGAAATGGTGCCTAGCTCCTAGTCCATAACTACCCATCCAGGAAGAATAAGCCCGAAATGCAATTCAGCTTTAAGATAGCAAATTTTTTATTAAAAAAAAAATATCACCACCATTTTTTTAGCAAATATTAAAAAACCAATTTTTCGAACATTCCCCTCTTGCTTAGGACTTCAAAAAACATTATTTCCTTTTCGTCAATAGTTTCAAAGTTATGAGGGGTGAGAGAATTAGAATCAAGAAAATTTGGCTTTTTTTACTCCAATATACAGCTCTTTTATCAGATGAACTTGGATGAAATCCACAACCAGCATCCTTGTCGATTATATTAGTACTTGCAGAATTCAAGAATGATGGTTTTTGACGGAGACCTGAGAAAAAATTTGGTATGGACATAAGATTTTCACTTAACACCCTCTTCTTAGCAGAAATAAGTATTTTCAGACAAAGGGGAAGTGAAAGTAAAAATTATTGACACTATATTTATTTACAATTCATTGTGGATATTTTTATTTATTTAAATACCCTTATATATACAAATTTTAATGTTATATTGCTGTATTCTATACAATTAAATATTAAATAATATCAATGATAACATTTATTAAAACCACATATGTTTATAAACATAGTATTGTCAGAGTCAGTATTATATTATGCGCATGTTATGTATGGAAGCCTGTTGTAATTTTTCCGTCGAGCTAGGATGGGCTCGTACTCCTTTTGTTCCTGCATTACAGCTATTACCCCTTTCGATCTCATATTTCTCATTTAATTAATTTTTAATAAAAAAAATGCCTTTTCAGTCTCAATAATAATTAATTAATTTCAAATTTATCCAAATTTTAGCCTCTTTAGGTATCTTTAGGGATAATCTGATTTTACATATGCTTTAATTTTTCATCTAAACAAATCATATACAAAAATCTTTCATATATATATATATATATATATATATATATATATATATATATATATATATATATATACAAATATATATATGTATATATATATGCAACTGATATAAAGTTATCGTTGATTGGTAAATATTGTTTTTAAAGGTGTATATTTTAAAAATGGGCTAATTTACAATAGTAAATCCTCTGAAAGATTTTTGTATATATTTTTTAGATGAAATATTAAAGTACATGTAAAATCAGGTTCCTGATATTCCTGAAGAGGTGAAAATCTGGATAAATTTGAAATAAATTAATTATTATCGAGAAGGAATAGACCTTTTTTTATTAATACTTATTATTGTCTCTTTCCCAAGATCATCTTTTATTAATTATTATTAAATTCTTTCACGTTTTATATTTAACTATTTTTATATATCAGATTAATGTGAAATAGTTAATTGTTTCAAATAAAACAATTAAAGGTAATTTAGAGGAAGCTAGTATTGGAAATTAACCATTTAAGCCTAGTTAGAGAACATCAAGGAGAATAAAACCTATATTATATTAAAAACTGCTTAATAATACATTGATATAGTGAGTTTAATCAAAATCATTGGAGCCGTTTTTGAGAAAATCATAAAAATGTGTTAAATCAATTGTGTAAAGTACCACTTCTGGTTTACCGATTTTGAAAGGTTGCTGTAACATCCAAGGCTTATAAAAACCTCAAATATGCAATTTCACTTTTATAAGACTTTTCGTTTTTGATCTAGACTCGTCACATGCATAGACACTGACTATTTGGCAGAACTTGGTTATTTGGACTCAGGAGACCTCAAAACATGTATTTCCGTTGAAAACTGAGATTTGAAAATTTTCACGATCGCAATACTTTTCCTTACTATATATTTCATATATAGGTAAGTGAAAGTAAAAATTGATCCAGCCACTTGCTCAAAACAGCTTTACAAAGTTTTTTGTAAATTGATGAAACACATTTTATTTAATAATGGGTCAGTATTTTTAGCTAAAATTGTTCTAAAACAATTGGGGAATCACACCAAATAATTTGAGCCATTAAACTTAAAAAATGATCCAGCCGTTCGCTAAAAAAAGTGTTACATAACTTTACATAGCAGACGATCCAAACACTAACCAACCCTCATTTTATTCCACTTAGTCGGGTGATAAATATCTAAAATTGGGAGAAAAAAAAATATATGAATAATTAAATATTAAGTTTAATACAAAATTGGGACAATATTAATAAAAAAAATATATATTAATAATATCTACTTTAAAAAAGTATTAACAATTGAAATAAAAATCATTTATAAAAAACTTTTAAAAAAATAATCACTTAATGAAAATTATACTTTTTTACATAAGTAGTTGAATTTATATATCTCTAGTTTAACAACAATGAAATATTAAAAGATAATAAAGATAAAGACAGCCGTAAGATATGTGAACAGCACATATCTTTTAAATTCTTGTTTTTAATCATGTAAGCCTATTCAAATATTTATTTTAAATATCTGAACTTCCTAAGACAATGTCATCAGTCTAGTATTTTGAACAATTATGAATTATAATTCAGTATGAGTTACAACAGTCGATTCAACATTTTCTTTTAAACCGAGAGAATCCCAGAAAGCTTCTTCTCCTAATTCATCAGCCGCTAACAATTGCAAATCATCTGGGCCTTTTATTTCAGTATAGACAATCTTTGGTAACTCCTGTTGAACAGATTGCCAATTTTCTCCAAGAGACCTGATAATTTAATAACGAAAATGAAAAATATTATGTAATCAATATGACACCAAAATATTGAAATTTAACCATACCCGTTGGCAGCAAATGAAGCCCAAACATCCAACATTAGATTTGAAACTTGTAGATCTTTTTCCGAATTTATCACATTTTTACCTCCACGTAAATAACCCACCGTGTAGTAAAGGTCATCGCCATGGCAAACACCTAAAAACAAAATTAAAGATATTTAGAAAATTTATAAACTTTTAAAAACAGGCAGTTTAAGTAAATATTAGTATGTTGCTAGTAAGCAGATGACTTATCCTTGACTGTACAAGTGTGGTACTTAGTAATTTAATGATACATTGTATCATAGTGAAAGTTTAAAAGTGAACATGGAAAGACATGAAGCAGATTTCAACATCATATATATTTTTTTGCGGAGTGCTCTTCAACTACAGCTTATGCAGAGATGGATATTGTTAACAGATTTGTGTTTAATATTAGATTGTATGTTACACAGTTTTTGACAAATGTTAGTATTAGGTTTTATGGAAAATAATGCAAGATTTTGGTTTAAAAAGAAAAACAAAAAATTTTCAATTGTTCTTTTGTTCAATTGTTCGTTTTCCCCTTCCTCACCTTTTAGGCTATACAGGAGCTGTTATAGTATATATTGGTTTTTATGCGCTAATTTTAATGGTGGTTCACTTGCCCGTTTACATTGCTTGTTTTATCCAAGAAATTGTACCCTAATGATTTCACTGATCGGTTTTAGGAAAATGAATGTATTTCAATTTTTTTTTTCAAATATACACATTTAAAGTTGTATTTTTTTTTTTTTAATATATGAGAAAGTCTTGTAAGTGGACACAATAGATTTTTAATTAAAATCGTTGGGAACAATATATAAATTGTCTTTACTCTACAACTCTTTCATTCCATATAATTGGAGGGCCGGAGGAGGGTTATCATTATCTTTCTTTATTCTTAATTTTATTGATTTAGTGGTACTTCACAATATTTATGTCAATAAAATATCTAAATGAACTTATTTTGCAGCGTTTTTCTAAGATTTAAAGCAGCATATTTAATAAATAGCAATAAGACCACCTCGGTCTCGTCTTGGTCTTGCATTTGGGCAACATTACAACCAACCATGTTGGAATGACTACCATGAGCTAATGGCATACTGCTATACAGCATACCGAACACACTTTGAGCTCTTCTTTCGTTAACTATCCCAGTAGTATGTAGTAACCACAAATTATATACAGTATATGGCAATTATTCATTGATATATATTTAGACCATTGATATGTTGGTGATCTTTAGATCTTCCGCTAAAAATTTTATTTTAATAAACTTTCAATGTAAAGAATCGACAGGAATTCTTTCAATGATTCTATTTTAGGCAGAGATGGTTATTCCATTTGCGCATAAGAGCTCACGATTTTCCTAGCTTTATAAAAGAAAAATACAACTACTTTATAACAGTAAAGAAAAATAAATAATATTTATTTGATATAGAGTAAATTACAGAAAAGGAATGCCTGGGTGCAGTGGAAGTTAAAGGGGGATTTGACCTCAATGCTCAACTTTTTTTTGTTTTTTACTGCATGATCATTCCATATCAATTCAACACAAGATCTTAATCCCACAATCTCAGATTTTCTTGAAATTCACAACAGTTATACTATTTGTAGAGATGAGGAAAAATATGAAATTTTACAGAGATGTCAAATCGTTTTTTAATTAGACAACTGTTAAGAAATCATTAATTGACTCAAAATATATTGGCTTCAGCTTTTTATTCTTTAGCTGCAAAAAACCAACATTCCAGCTCATTACAAATCTCTCTACCAGGTCATAGGTTATTGCTAGAACCACTAGATAGCGTGAGATAAATTATTATTTAGCCCTGAATATCCTTAAGGGTGAAGGGTCTAACCTCAACCCTTCTTATACCTACTTCCACCCCTTTTTCACATTTTTTAGTAATTTGACAGTTTAGCTCTAAAACTAACTACAGTTGGTAGAGTTTTGAAGAGCAAAAGTTAAAAATGAGTTTCAAAATTGTTATAAATTAAAAAAAAATTGTTTGTTTCGAAAGTATAATTTTTTTTTTAAATTGGAACATATGTAATAAAATTTATCATACAATGAAACGTTTTGTAAATTTTTCCATATCAAACCTTATCAGAAATTGCTTAATAAAAAAAAAACATTTCAAATGAAGAATAAAAAAATTATGACACTAAAAAAATAATGTAAATATTACAGTATAATGTAAGAGAATTAATAAATTGTAAAAGTAAAAGAAAGTTTAAAATTAAAAAAAAAAAAACTGAACCGTTTATTGAAATATTAACTAACATTGTATTAAAGAAAAATGTATAAGTCATCAAAAGAAAACATATTTTAATGCGAAAAGTGCAAAAATACAGGCGCGATTCAGTGAATAAATTCTATGTACACACGGGACCTGACCTTGATTCAGGCTTCGTGCAACTAAAGGATTAAAATTGCCATTGAACCTTTCGTAATTTAGTTAGAGGTCTGGAATTTTACAGCATTTTAAATGCTCTTTCCTATGATATACAATTGAATAGATTAATATAGGAAATTTTTTTCAAAATCTAATTTAAAATTTCAATATAAATTTTCTCTGAAAGTGCATATTTTAAAATCTTCAATTTTTTTCTATAATTAGTGTTGTAGTAAATCATAACGTGCCTTATCTCAAAAAAATTTCATATTTTTCCTTACCTCCTTGTATTTAAGTCTCACTGTGTTTAATTTCAAGAAAACCTGATTCAGGTAAGATTCAGACCTTGTGTTGAATTGAGATTGAATAATCCAGCAGTTAATTTAGCCTAAAAAGTTAATGTTAATTCCTATTAATTTTTTTTAACCCTATGCTTTGATTTTTGGTTTCTGCCATGAGTCTTCTAGCAGCCCAGTATATATCTTATTTTGAAGAAGTAATTTCGTATGGATTTAAAACAAAACAATACATCATTCAATTTCCTATTCATGTATAAATAATTGATATATCACCATATCAATGAACTTATTAAAAAGAAATAAATTTCTCTTAATTTTATAAATAAAAATGAAGCTTTATATATACAGTTGGTTCTTTTAAAATCTTCTAGTTGTTATGATTTTTCATAAATTTAAATTAAATATTAATTAAGATATAATTGATTTATTTTAATATTCGGATAACACCAAGTTTAACTTACCCAAGTTTTCTTTCGTAATAAAATCTATGAGTGAAAATTGACCTTTATAAGAAAACTTATATAAGTAGATAGGAGAGGAATAGAGTGAGCCAGTTAACTTAACAACTTTACTAATTCCTGCCTCGAAGAAACGATCATTGGCCAACTGTAATAAATAAAATTTTATTAACAGAATGTTTGAATAAATTGTTTAAAGAGTATTAAATGATAACAAAACAAGATCATACATTTGAAATAATTGAAAACATTGCTGATCTAATAAAAAAAGATTAGCAATTTATTTTTTTTAAATTAGAACAGTTTAAAAAGCAGAGTGTAGTTCTAAAGAATTATAAAGAGTCACAATATCACTGTCAAAATATTTAAAAATCAATATATTTCATCTCGATCTGTCAACTTTTGAAACCACTTAATTTTGTCAATGACTTTTAATCTAATTGAAGTAAGGTTTTAAGTTTTCAAATTATGATTCATCACTTCTCAATGGAATTCTTATTCATTTGATACCTCATTCATCAAAATCCACTGCTTTCAAGAGCCCAAAAATATTGCTACAAAAGAGCATATACTGGCGTATTATAGAGGTTGTTTTAGGATTAAGTGATTAGAGTGCTACCATTGGGTAGTTACTCAGCAAGTGTATTCATGTCATTATATCAATTATGTCCAAATTTACTTGATGTATTTATGTAATACAGTTGTAAATGTCATAAAGAAAAAAAAAAAAAAAAAAAAAAAAAGGATTAAGTGGCCGAACTGCAAAAATGAACAAACAACCTCAAACCAAAAAAAAAAAAAATTCCTCTGAAGGTATGACTGCAAACACTTAGTTTATGAGATATTCACACCTAAAGATTTTTATTGTTATGAATTATTTATGTTATATGAAATAAATAAAACCTAGTTATTTGTTTTAAATACTTTATTAATTAAATGTAAACATTAACATTCATATTAAATGTTGTTCATATCATCTCTGGTCGCAGGAAAATCCCCATACAATTTGTGAGCATCATTTTCAACTGACTAACCAATTTCAAATGGTGCTGAAAATGATGCTCACAAATTGCATGTGGATTTCCCTGCGACCAGAGATAATTATTTTTCTGATTGAAGATACCTCTTTTTGTAAAGGTACCTTCATCTGTCCAGAGATTTTTTCCTGAACATTGTGGATTATGGACAACATTTAATATGAATGTTAATGTTTACATTTAATTAATAAAGTAGTTAGAACAAATAAATAGAAACAATAAATAACCACTGAAAACAAATAAATAAACACTAAAGTGAAATGTGTGGTTGGTGATAATAGACAATATTTTAATAGGTCTGCATTTCTTGCCACTTTGACTCAATGCGGGCACATTTCTGAAATTTCTTAATAATGATTACTATGATTTAGTTGAACATATTCCATTACAACTGAGAAGGGACGTGTGGCTTCAATTAGATGGTTGTCCTGCACATTACGGAAGAGGTCCACAACAATGACTAAATGTTAATTATCCCAATCAATGGATCGGCCATGCAGGACCAGTGGCTTGGTCTGCAAGCTCTACAGAACTGACACCACTGGATTTTTTTGTTTGATGTGACATTAAACAAAAAGTCTATGCAATTCTGGTCAATGACCTTAATTCCTTACGAAGAAGGATAATTGAATCTTGTGAAACAATAACACATATCCAGTGCCGTTCTGCCACTGCTGCTGTTGAAGAAAGATGCCGAGCCTATCTTAATTCTCAAGGAAATCACTTAGAACACCATTTAGTATGAATTTAATATTTACATTTAATTAATGAAGTAGTTGGAACAAATAAATAAGTTTTATTTACTTACTATAACATAATTAATTCATAATAATGAAAATCTTTAGGTGTGAATATCTCCTAAGCAAAGCGTTTGCGGACATACCTTCATAGGATTTTTTTTTCTTGTTTTGAGGTCCTTAATTCATATTTTCAGTTTGGCCAGTTAACCCTGAAACACCCTGTATATAGTGTAGATTCAATTTTTATTTATAACATTTTTATTTTAAAGTTTGGCTTCAAAGAGAATTTAATCATCATTCAAATAAACTTCTCAAATGTTTAGAAAGATGATTAGAATATGCTTTTTTCGATAAACAATAGTGTTTAATCCAAGCAAGGTGTGTAAAACATTTGTAGAAGTACAGAATAAAACAAATAGATATAAATTTAGAAGCAATGTCTAAAATTAAAAATGCATTAATATTGCTAATAAGGATCAGATTTGGACAATTTTTTCGTTTTTGTTTTGTAGGAAATTTAATAACTTTTCAAAAAATAGGGTAAAATGAAATTTCACAGGAAACAGTGGCCAGGCCAAAACCCTACAGAAACAAAATCGTTTCTATTGTTTGTGAGATAACCATATAATTTTTTTGAAATGTTTATTTCATTAGCCTAGTATCACTAAATGCAATCTCATAGCCCCATACTTCTCTACTGTCTCCTAAAGGAAATACTATGTAGTAATTGTGTTTTTCAGAAATTGAAGTAAGTGCTTTTGATTTTCAGGTTGTAGGGCTTGTCGATATCATAGCAGACGATATGAAGTCCTTGATGGATCCAAGCTCAGACAATTTTCTAAAATGTGTAACATTGTTAAAGCTATATTTCAGCTGTGACATCTTGGTGGTGAACTACTGATGAGTAGGTGCCCATGCGTGAGCCTGGTGTGCCCTATTCTGAGGCGTATGATAATAGTTTGCTCCCGTCGGTTTTCTTGTATCTGTGGAAGTGGATTCATGTCATTCAAAATGCTTTTCATTTTGTTGGTACCAGGAACCTTTGTCTAACAATACCCTCAGGCTTCTCTACAGTGGTACAAAACTGAATTATTGAAATCGTAGAGCGCTATGTTAGTGTCTGGTGTTGGAAGTATGATAGATGCTTCTTTTGCAGCTATATCAGCCAGTTCATTGTATGGTATTCCTGTATGAATGGGGACCCACAGACATTTTATATTTCCTTTGTTAGTTGAATGATTTGCGTGATTTGAAAGACAATGGGGTTATTACATAATTTAAAGTTTTCTATTAGTTTGTTATTATAGAAGTGCCAGTGATACTTGTACAACTAATTAACAAACGCTATAAATATAGGCATACCTTGAGTAAATTCCTCTTGCCATCAGCACTGTTTTCAATTTTATAATGATCCTTAATCTTTTGGATTATCTGAGACTTGGATTCAATAGGCACAGTGTAATTGAATGCCAAAAAATGAGGTATGATACTTTCCCAATTTTTTAGAAATTCATCAAAATTGTTATCATTGGTTGTAATTCCTGAAATAAAATTATTAAATCAAAACGACAAATAATTTAGAATCAAATTGATAATTAACTAATTGGTCCATGTAAATAATTCAGATTGTAGGTTGGTCAGTGAACAAATGACAAAATAATATGGAAATAAGTAAATGTTGTGTATTATGAGATGGAGGAATTAATTTACTTTTCCTCAGTCAATTACATTCAAAATAATAAACCAAATTTTTTTTTTCTGTTAGCATTACAGACGTAGATCTTTTGCCACCTTAACAAGCCTGCTTTATCTCTGCCTATCTTGGGCTATTTCTTTCGAGTTATCTGCACGAAGTTCTATGGTATCTTTGTTTATTTGTTCTATCCTATAGCATTCATTGTTATGTAAAGGCTTCCAGAAGGATGGCTAAAAGCTATATACCCTGCCATCTTAATCTCCATGCCTTCATATCATGTGATATTGATTGACCAGTTTCTGTAAGCAGTTCTTTATAGGTCTTTCAATCATAAACCAAAATATGTGTAGATATTACAATATGCTATATCTTTGCTAATAATGGTCCAATTTTGTAGGAAATTTGGAAGATTTTTAACTAATCAAGGGTATAATCCATAAATTGAATACTTTTGGGTTATGCACAAATAAAGTTTTCTTTTTTTCATAACTTTTTCTTCCCTCATGCTAAGCAGCCAGCACAAATTTTAAATGAATAGTAAATACTAACATTTTAATTTATTTTCAACATGCCTAAGCCAAGTGAAAAGACTGAGATGCTGAATTATTTGGTTAAAAGTGCTTTATTAGAAAGCATCAATAAACAATCAGATGATTCAGAAGGCAAAGAACATGATGAATACTTAGATGAAATCCTAGCTGTCTTTACATTCAATTTCTGCGGATATTACACACAAACACATCAAAACCTTACAATAATCTTCTCTAAGCATTAAGAAGTTAGCAACATTTTACAGGACCCTAGGCTGCGTTAAAATTGATAGTGATAATGGTGGTATTTAACATAATAGCCCCGGTGTCCGATAGCTTTATATCATATATAATGATTATTTACATTTGCATCTAACTTTACATCTATCCAACTCCCATTCAAATATTTTATAAAATGACGGTTTTAGAGACTTCGTAAGATATGCAAAATTCGAAACGATTCCGGCTGAAATTGAGCCGAATATTGGAACCGGGAACCGTAGCCACACTTAACGTGTTAACACACATTTTCTAAATAATTTTCTCGACTTTACACATTTAAGAGGCTTAAAATACTTAGCACTGGTTATATGAATAATCCTCCTGATTAGGAAGTTAAGCAAATTGCAAAAAGACCTTATCTTAAAATTTATTAATGAGAAAGAATAAATATAACGTCCTCTTCTCTCATTCAAAGAGAAGCTAATTTACGTTATGCAATATGTATCCTATGGTAACATTATAATTAAGGTGAGCTTCTGTGGCTGCAAAACTTTTCTTTTTTATTATTTCATAAATTTTTAAGTATTTTAACATTGAATGACGTTTTACCTCATAAAAAAAAAAAAAAAATGGTTACAGTTGGTTCCAAATAGATTACATAATTTATAATAAAAGTCAATACATTCTTAAGATAGAATTACCTGCAGTCATAATCAATGCCTCATCGGCAACAAATGATATTAGTGTTGGTACGTCAGCAGCACCTTTATTCTTGATTATCTGAATTGGTGATTCAGAAATAAAAGCATTAGGACCAGCTGGTTCGATAACTGGACCGACCGGCATAGTAGGATAATTACCTTCCTTTAAAAAAAAGCAACAACAAACATTAAGAATAAAAAAATATTACATAAAGTATAACTAATTAATATCTAACTTAGAAAGCCACAAAATATAATGGAGAGTGATGAAACATTAACAATTTTTAATTTTTGAATAGGAAATAAAGGTTTCTATATAAATTCAATAGAATTTATATAAAGAATGTATAGTAAATAAAATTATAATGATGAATTATAATGATAAGCCAGAATTATTTAGTGCACAGAATGGTCATAATTTATATTATGACAAGTTTTTATTTCTAATTGAAGTAATATTATTAAGGTTTATTAACTTAAAAAAAAAATTAATAAACTGAAAGTAGATGACTTAGTGAAAATTGTGATACATCACACCAAATTTTTAATATGTAATTTTCATCATCATTTTATAACATTATCTTATTTATTTTTCATAATTTTGGTTTATTATTTTCAACTATAAACCATTGTAATCGAACAAAAATTCAAAAACTTAACCATCCCCTTCAAAATTTGAGGTTTTACGTTTCAGGATACGTAGAATTCGAAAATCGAATACAAATTTTTGTGTCCGTCTGCCGTCCACCCATTTTCTCTGAGACACCAGAGTGATTTTTTCAAATTTGGATTTAGAGTCAGAGGTCACCCGAGGATTATCCTCCTACAATGATATTATTATCCGCTTTCTCCTTTCATGATGGCGGTCGAAAAACCTGTGTTGGTATAGATTATAGCTAAACGAATGTACCAATTTCAATAAAACTTAGCTAAAGTCTTCTTCTCAATGCCCTTTAAATAACATACTTCAACGAAAAGAAACTTGAAAAAAATTACGAGAGGTAGTAAAATTAGATTTCCGAATAACTCAAAAAGTATACACTTTTTTGTTGGTATTGTATATAATTATTTAAAAGTTTACGAAATTTCCTAAAAAAAATAAAAAATAAATAAATGGTTAAAATCAGACAATTAGGAGCAAAGATATGGTCTTTTTTATGTTCTATAGGTAATAAGGTTATATCCTTTGTTTTGGTTTTTGAAAGTGCTACTGAAGTAATGCAATTTTTTTTTTAGCAAATTACTACTGATGACAAAAAAAAAATGTTTAAGCCAATAATAGGAATCCCCCTTTATTTCTTTTTCTTTGTTAGTAGGAAGGTAATGTTACTTTAGATGTATAACTGTTTGGAAATAATAAACCATTGTGAAATAATTTGCAGCGTTTTTTTATATATATATATATTCTCTTATATGAACTGATAGAACGGAACCATCATCAGATGATGTGAAAATCTCCCTTTTCGGAGTTAGTTCCATCTGATATTTAACAGATGGTGTGAAAATGTCCAGGAAAATTTTTTCGAAATTATATCACTAAATACAGAGTAACTGTGTAACTATGTAGTTTATTATCAAAAATAAACTAATAATAATTACTTATACTAATATTTAATATTGCTAAATGCATTTACCTGCAATTTTGATGCTAATCCTACAATGTGGTTCGCTGGTCTGTTTCTAAGACAATTTATCATTGAATGAGAATCATTTGTAGGACAGCCAAGATCGTTAGCAACAATTTTAGCTTTTTCTTTTGGATTTTCACTCATCTTCAAAAACACTCCACTCATAATAATAGCATTTTTGAATAAACCTAAAATATTAAAAAATAAATAAATAATATTATACAATTTAGTATTGATTATCTAAAATTAGTTTCGTAATATTGTTTACCTTTACTAAGTGGAGATAACATGTGAAAATGACAACTACCGCCTCCAGAAGAGTGGCCTCCAAGGGTCACGCTCTTCGGGTTACCTCCAAAAAATTCAATATTTTGTTGAATCCATTTTAGAGCCAATACCTGGTCTTTCAGACCATTATTTCCAGGTACTAAATCATCTTCAGTGCTCAGGAATCCTAAAAGCATGTTTTGAAAATCAACTCAAATGCTAAGAAACAATAAAGAAAAATAGTTAAAACTTAACCTCTATTGATATCTTTTTTTTTCATAACTTCCCACCTATCATTTCAATAACCACATATTTAAAATATAATGCTTTCTTTTATATATTTATGACTAAGAATTGAACCTAACTCGTTTACATTATCATTTTACAAGTAGAGTAGTATTTATATGAATAAGACCATCACTTTTAAAAGTAAAAGATTCAAACCTATACTTAGGAAGAGGTTAAAGTTGGAGTCAAACGAACAAATCATAAAATGATATTGCTAGAGCAAACCAAGCATTCACTGGAGTTATAAGAAAATATTAAATTTGACTGGAAGATATGGCGTTAGTTTCTTTGATGTGAAGCAAAGTAAAAAAACTTTAACAATACAGTTTTTACGCAAACTTCTGTTAATTTATAAAAAGCTTTCCCTCTGCCAAACAAGATTTTATATTTGTAGTGCAAAGAAACCTTTTCCTTTTGAATAAACAAACCCAAGAAAAACTGTTTACCTTTTTATGTAAAAAATTATTCAAACGTGACAAGTGTTTTATAAAATTGGTAATATGTTGAAGACAAGTTAAGTGAAAAAGTTGTTGTCAGATAGTTTCATAAACAAATATAAGTTTTCTCTTCTTTTCCTCTGGAAAGTTGTATAATATTCTTTATTTTCGATAATGTAAACTTCCAGGTTTTGACGTTTTGGGAAAATTATTCCCATCTTCAAAACTTAAATTCCATATTCTCATAGTGATTTATGGCTAGAAAAGAGGTAATTAAAAAAGAATGTATGTTACAATACATGTTAAAGTTGTGTTGTTACATAAAATGTTATAACTACCTACAGCCTCATGTGCTCCTTTGTCACACAACTTTCGCTTACCACCCTTTTAGCAGAAATAAGTATTTTCAGGCAAAGGAGCAGAGAAAGTAAAAATTATGGACCCTATATTTATTTATATCTCGTTGTGAATATTTTTATGTATATAAAATTTTGATAGTATAATTTGAAAATTATATTTTTCTTATCTGATGAGTCTGTCTTTTTTATTGGTAATGTATCTACCCGATGTTTTATTATTGTATTGTCCAAGTTTGATTTCTGCTATATCATAATTTTTAAACACGTCCTTAATTTTGTTTGTAAGTTCAGGTATGTATGTTATTTTGTAGTAGGTGTTAAAGTTCATTTTGTTTGTTTGTGAAATGTCTTGATTGTTCTCGTATGTTAAATTTGATTTTTTCAAAAAATTGGGTAATGAATTGTTGTGTTGGTTTCTTTGTTGTAATGTTTTCTTTTGTTGCTTTGTGTGTTACTTCTTTTTTTGGTTAAATGCTGTATTTCATAAGCGACTGTACCATAATTTGTTAATTAGGTTTGCAGGGTAAAAATTCTCAATTAGTAATTTATAAATTTCTGTTTTTATTAGTGGAATAAAATGTTTATCAGTTGGTTCTATTGATTTGTGTATTCGATTTTTGACTATGTGAATCATTTGATATCTGGGATGGTTCGAATGAACTGAAGTTAAGAAAGTTAAGTGAAAAAGTTGTCAAGTATTTTCAAAAAGAAATATAAGTTTTCTCTTTTTGATACTGATTGAAACATATTCTCTTGATTTCTAAGCACTAAAATATGCTCTTGTAATGGTCGCACCAGTTTTTTTAAAATAAAAAGTTTAGTTTTTAGCTTTCCATGAAATTCTTTTTCGAGACCTGCATTGTCAGATTGAAACCTGAATAAATAATGATATACAGTTCTTTCATTCACAATACCTTCAACAAAAGCTTTGTTGATGTTTGGTAATGCTTTGGAAACATTATTCCAAGTTCATATTCATTAAAGAAAATAAATTGTAATTTAACAGATTCCATTGCTTAAAATAATTACATGAACACTTGAAGATTTAACAATAGCTGAATGATATTGCATGGAAATAAATTGGTGATGTCAACTGATTAATTTAATACCCACAGTGCCAGTGTTTGAAAACAAGAAACAATTTCTAACTTTAACAATTTTGTCACAATACACATCAAATGTTTCACATGGTTCAACCCAGTACATAAAAACCTGTAGCATAACAATCTATGAAGGGTCTCGGGTTCAGCACAAGCCAACATGTATAGTTATTCTAGATATTTATCAATAAAATAGAATACTTAAATAACACACCTTGTTTCTAATTCAATAATCTATTTATTTTTTTAAGGAAATGTCTTGGTTTATAAATAAATACACACGATATACATAAAAATGAAATACTTTTGAAGTATTAAAGGGAATCAAATAAATGTAACTAATACAGAATTGGATATAAAAGTGATATAAATTCTTTGATTATTGTTGATTAATTTAGGGACTGTTCTAACACAATATTCGATATAATAAGTGAAATATTAGTAAAAGTATATGAAACATTATTATTTTGAAACTTAGAACTTACCAAGGATTCCAACCCTATAATTGAATGTAACCAAGACTATATCCCTATCGAGCAGGATAGAAGGATCATGCAATTTAGAATCTCCTTCTATATATGCTCCTCCATGAATAAAAGCAATAACATCAAATAATCTAGGCTCAGCTGAATCCACAGGCAACTAAACAAATATTTGTGAGTAAATATTATAACTAATCAGACAACTGACGAATAAATACAAATGGTTCAGTAAATCTAACCTGTGGAGTGTACACATTGATGTACAGGCAATCTTCAGAACCTCTTATACCTTTAGGATTGCTTTGATAATCAATTTGAAGGCAAGGAGGTGGTTCTCTGGTCGCATTCCAGACACCATACCATAGGCCATATGCAACAGGTGCCTACATTCAATATATAATAATAATTATAATTATATATATATATAATTATAATTATAGTTATTATAATTATAATAACATATATTTAAAGGTACAAACGAAATTATTGAATATAGGGTTTTGTTTTGTTTTTTCTTGCACAGTAACCCTATGCAGGAGGAGTTTATTTGCAAAAGTTTACATATATCATGCGAATTCACATATTATATGAGAATTTGAATATACCTTGAATATGAATATTAATATGAATATGAATATACCTTGAAACGATGCTTTCCTGAAGGGGGTTTTCCATAAGGAATTCCTTCAAAACTGGCTATTTGCCGGTTGTTGATTGTTTTGGTATACAATCCCCTAACGGTACCTTGAAGAGTCCTTACTTCTGGCCGATTTTTACAAACGCAAATACTTATTAAAATCGAAATAAAAACACAAATCCAGTTTAAATTACACATCGTAGAGAGTGAGTCTACGTGCGTTGCTAAGGTAAACTGAGAACAGTTCTTATCAATAAGGCTTATCAGATAGTAATGACAACTGATAAGGAAAATAACAGTGTTTAATAACTAAATATAACTCATCTATTTTTAGAAGTTATTTTATTTAAGAATAATAACCAAACAATCTTTTCCTTCGGATAATAATTCCTAACATTCATTAATTTCACCCTTTCATTTCGAACAGAAAGATAAGTCTGTAATTAATAATATTGTTTCATTAGTCTATCACTAAAAAATAGATTAACCGGTTATTTAGAATAACCTTCCATTCCTAATCAGTACATACAAAAAATTATGTAAGAATTTAATATTAAATTTCTTATCTCTTGACGAAAGCTTTAAGTTTTTTCACTTAAGGATCACGACTTTCTAATTAGTTATTAATTGAAAAACCTGCGTTATAACTACGTCAATTCAATTAAAATAAGTACATGCGTTAAACAATTTTTTACTTTACAATTTATTATCAGTAACTATATTATAGATTCCGGGTTTAAATTAAAATGTAAAACACTTATGATAAGCGTAAAGCATACAAAATCTATTTATGAAATTATCTAAATATTTGTTCACTATTTTTAATGGTTGAAACGGACTTCATCCTTAATGTAATCACTAGAAAATTCTTATAATTTGAAAAATGAAACGTAAAGAGTAAAACAAAAAAAATAATAATCACAATATTTCTCCAATTCTTCTTTGGTGCATACCATTTATTTTCAAGTTTATTTACTATCAGCCATTTTACACCAATTTTCAATATTTTGGACAGACATCACAATGGTTTGAAAAAAGACTTAAATAGCACACACAAAATTGTAATTCATAAAACACAAAAATTAAATTAGCTACTGGGCTCTCTCAGCATATTATGCAAACAAAACATGAAGTTGATTTAAAAAACGCCAAAATCCTGCATAATGAAACTAATATGAACAAACGTAGAATAAAGGAAGCAATATACATAGCTAAAAATAAAAAAAAAATCGGTAAATAATCATACAAACGTGGATAATATGAATACCTTCTACGCGAGTTCGATTGAAAAAATAAAAATATGAAATGAATTAGCTAATTTTACTTAAAATAGATCCATATATAATATTGGAAAACATCATTGTATATGTTTAAAATAAATAGTCTTCCCCTACTCCTTTAAGAATAACAGTCACTGAATAGAAATGAGACTGATGACATGTCGGTGACACATAATAAGGTAATTTTAACTTATATGAATCGTTTAATAATAAATAATTGAGTAATAATAATGTTATAAAATAATTAAAGGTGGACATAAAAAAAAAAAATTTCATGAGTAGACGCATGCAATTCGCAAAAGTAAAAAGGACAGGTACATGATTGGTATTTTAGGTATACAAAAAGAATCTCTATATGTTGAAGTATGTAATGTTTTAAATATGATTGTAAATTGTAAAAAAATTTTTAGACTTGAAAATGGCTGAACGAGCCGAAACGTCGTAATTAGATGTGTAGTCATTATGTTGACAAAATTTTGAAAATTGGTGTAAAATGGCTGATAATAAATAACCTTGAAAAAAAAAATAATACTTGAAAAAGTATTTACTTCCAAAATATTTTTATATAGAAGTATGGATATTTACTTTATTACACATATACTCCCCGCATTACGTCCGAGAATGTGAGTACCAAGAAAGGTCCAGGTGATGTATTTTTTGAGTTTGACTTTTCATCAATTTCGCATTAATTTTTGAAAACGACAAATTCAATTTTCATATTAACGAACATCAGTAGCAGATCCAGGATTTTTTTTTTTAAGGCGCTTCAGCCCGACAGTTTATATATATAAACGATCATTACATTTCAAGAAAGATAAATAAACTAACTGAGTGATTCTTGACGTCCTGTTATATGAAATTACACCAAGAATAATACTTTTAAAGATAATTTTTCATAAGACATGGTTATATTTTACCATTTTGGAGGGGGAAGGCGAGACTGTTTGGTTTGAAGCCGAAATCTCCGAAGCCAAAGCTTATAAATCTGTCTGTGACGAGAGTTTAGTATTGAAAATAATTTTTTCTCGGGTATTTCGAGAAAATACAACAGCAACTATTGCATCAAGCTGCGTATAGCCACTTCAGAAACTATGGAAAACACAATCAGATAGCTTATTATTTTATTATCATTTTCCCTTGCCACTGGGCAATGCAAATTTTTGGAAGAAGTAGCACATCAGGAGTGCTCATTCCCCCTAAGGTCGATGACGCAAGAACCTGCTCCTCTCCCCCTCCTTCCAAGATATTTTATTGCTCACTTTTCTTAAGAACAGAGCAAGCTAAGATATAATTAGAAAAATCGTAGATCATATAAAATTACATTTGCTGCTGTATGTTCCATGTTTTTCCCCTTGTCCCTTAGTCCAAAAATTCATAACTCCGTCGAAATTTGCCCCCCTCAAAAATTAAAAAAATCCGTCAAAATATGCCGCCCCCAAAAATTTTGATGGCGCAACTTGCGCCATGAAACCCTCTTCTGGGCACCCTTGCAGCAGGATACTTCTACCAATTGTTTCTCCTTCATTAATGGAGATTGATATGATGAACCACCACCAATTCCTTCCACCTGGACATGAAAAAACTTCCTTGTAAGGGTGGTTATCCTTACTTAATAGCTACAGGATGAGGTTACTTACAAGATTCCGATTTACCTCAGTATTTTGGCCCTTATTTTCTCAAAAGCGAAGCAAGTCCTGAAGACATGCTCAGCAGTTTCCGGAACTCAACAACAGTGACAAAGGAGGTTAATTTACTTTCCAGAGGCATGAAAGTAGGCTTAAAACCCTCCTTGTGCTGTGAGGAATTCTGAGATCCAATAATTGGGGAGGACTCATTTTGCTTTCAATCTTGAATAGACGTTAGGAAAGTATTTTCTGAAGGTAGAACCTTTATGAGTAGTTACCCACCCTCAATTCCACTGCTCAATAGTGTCCTCTATTATTCTCTTCCATTTAAATGCATCTGTTGCAATACTTTCTTGGAAATTTTCTGGAAGGCCTGCCGAGCCATGTGTTTTAGGAATATACCTAATCTTATTCTCTTGGTAACCCTCCTGCTGAAAACTGCACCACTTTATGAGTAACCATTCTATAGGATTTTGTTACTCGTATGAGAGCCGTTCTCTGAATTGTCGCTAATCTTCTTTTCTGTAGTTGCGAGAGGTTACGATTTCAAACTGGGGACACGCATCTCAGAATACCCAGCACTACTTCATTATAGATAATTGTTGCCAGGTATCTGAGGGAGAATGTGCACCCAATATGGCTTAGTCCATAGAGGAATAGGGTCACCCTACTTCTGAGGTAATCCAAGACTACATTACAATTAGATAGCTAACAGCAACATTATTGCTAAATAAAACTATTTATGTTAATTCTCTTTATACTGACAGCAAATGAAAAACAAAAATCAAGAAGTAAAAATTATACCATAGCTAAATAACCATTTATATGATTATTTGTCCCATAGTTTGTGAAGTGCATGAACTCACCTTCATAATTAATAATATATTTTTCTGCCATTTTTTGGTAAAGTGCTTTATTTTTGTAAGTGACTAAATTCATAAATTTTAACGACCATTCTTCCATAAAATATTTGTAATTATGTCAATTGATTAATTTCAATCTGATTTCTACTCAGTTGACTCTTCCAACCCATTTTCGAGGCTTAGCATACATAATTTGGACAAGGCTTTGTATTATATCTTATACATTTTTTCTTTTCAAACTTTTTATAATTAAAAATTCTCAACATTTATTCAAGAAACTGTTATTCCTGAATTTATCAAGGATAATTTTTTAAAACAAGCTATTGCTTAAAGTGTTCGTTCTCTTCAACAAACGACAAAAAAACTAAAATATTGACTCAACAGTACTTTAGGGACTCAGAACATCAAAGAAGATGTAAGATGACAATATTCAGTATTCTAACCAAAGCTTTAATAATGTCAATTTTTACTTTCAATCCAAAGGAATAGGATAACAGTTCTTAATTCTTCTACATGCCTAATATTCAACCTACCAGCAAAAGAAATTCAATTAACTTGACATCACGAAGTTTACTTTGTTTTATCACTGATAGTGTTAAATGTTGTCAGATAGTGCGATTTGATAATAGTTGCATATGCTAAAATTAAGCACTCTTAATATCTAAATTAGCATGTCTTTCACTGAAAACATTCTTGAAAGATAGGTCAAGAAAGAAACCATATATATTTTGATAGATTAGAACCAACTAAACATTATTTTATAAAATATAAAAAAAAATCCTTTAAGTAATGTTAAGTTACAAGGTGTAATAACAAAGGACAAGGCAATGCAAATTAAATCTATAAAGTTCTGATAACAGTAAGTTGATAAGTATTTTACCTACCAAAAATTTAGAAGATATGAAAAATAGACCTTGTCTACCAAATCAGTGAATATATTTTTTTTCTGCTAAAAATAACTGTTTGTTTTTAAACATTGTTGAAGTAACCAATTAAATTCAACTTTTCTATTGCTTAGTTTTGTTATATTAACAGTCAATAAGATAAATAATTAAAACTTCTTTTTCAATTTATTAATTTTTTTTTGTTGTAAAATTAGAGAAAATGTAATAAAATAACTTATCAAGTTATTTGAAATTTAATAAGAATCTCTGTTGAGTGAAAACAAATATTGAGTTTAGGACAAACATTTATTCAGATTTATGTAATATCCTAAAGAGGAAAAGTACTCACATTATAAAGATATCTTATCATCTATCTCAAACATCTTTCCAAGTTTAAATAAAAGCAGATATGGTCAACTTGAATAAAAGCCTTAAGAGAAAAATTTCCTTCTCAAGAATTATTACTGATATATAGTATTTTAAAACCTATATAATATATTAAGAAAATAGTCTGCTGAGGCATTTATATGAGCGAATAATTTTAAACAAAGTAATTAGTAGTTTCTGATTGAGATAAAATAAAATCTTTAAAAATTACAATGTCATTTACAAACAGTAAATATTACATCAGAATTTTTTTGAATTTAAATGGAAAGCTTTAAATTTCAACCTTGCAACTAAATTCATTAATTAATTACTTAAGATATTCTTCAGATTTATTGATTATGGACAACAGAATGTGGTGATTGCCATAAAATTCTGAGCTTGAACATAAGGGTATAGTCATCAGCCCACTTGGAAAATTTTTAGGGTTGAAAATAACATTTTATCTTTTAACCAATATTTTAATCCTTTCTTCTCCAGATACTCCTTTAAATGTTTTGAAAAATTAAAAATTTAGTTAACATTTTCATTTTAGATTTACATTTATTACATGATATTCATCAGGAATATTAAATTAAATTTTGTTTACATTGACATTATTTAAGATAATTATAGAAAATATTATTTAACGAAATTTTATCTAAACATAATTCACATAACTGAAGGAAAATGGGAATTATTAAAAAACGTAAACATAATTTAATACTTCATTCATACTGATCCTTTTAGAGTGTTAGTGTGTACTCTCAAGTATAGGAAAAAAGAACATAAAAAATAATGAAATACCACTAGATGAAGATTTATTAATAAGAATAAAATAAATAAAAACATTTAATAAATAATAAGTCAAATTAAAAGAGCTGTTGCAATTTACAGAATTAATTATAATTCAACTCATAGTTCTACATGACTCAAGGTAGGTTCAATATTTTCATTTAAACCTAAACTGTCCCAGAAACTTTCTTCTCCCAATTCATCTGCCATGGACAATTTTAAGGTATTGGGTCCTTTGATATCAGTAAAAATAATTTTTAAATCTTTTTTATTCAAAGGGTGCCATTTTTCATCCAATGTTCTAAAACAAAATTAGAAGAAGTTATATTATTTGTACCATTATTCAACTAATATTTTAACAATTATTATTAAAGACAAACCCATTAGCAGCAAATGAAATCCACATGTCTATCATACATTCTGACATTTCCGCATCCATTGGTTCTTCAAATTGTTTCCAAACTCCATAATCACGAACAGTGTAAAAAACGTCATCACCATGACAAACACCTATAAAAGTGTATACTTAAAAAGTAAATTTTAACAAGGAATAATATATTTTATTAAAGTCAAGATAAATTTTAACAAGGAATAATATATTTTATTAAAGTCAAGGTAAATTTTAACAAGGAATAATATATTTTATTAAAGTCAAGTTAAATTTTAACAAGGAATAATATATTTGATTAAAATCAAGAATTAAATATATCGGTTGTGGATTAAGGGTTTCTTACAGTCAATATTATTGAAGCAATAAAATTGAATTGCTCCCTCCCCCCTAACACCTGCCAGTTGAATTGAGTCAACATCATGTCAGTTGTGATCTTGCTTTCTTCAAAGAATTAGTTACCTTCATTCATTTTTCTGAACATGAATAATAGTGAATTTCATATTATTTTAATTATTATAGCTTTGGCTTTAAAAAATAGAATTATATAATAAAAATGTCTTAATTTTTTTTTACTTTTACAACCAACATTTGATTATAAATATATTAATAATAATTTCCAGAAAATTACAAATTAATTATTTATCAACCATTTATTTTTAATTAAATTGTTATGAAGATGAATAGAAATGGAACATTTTGATAATATTTTTTATTCACTCTATATTGTAACCTAAAGATTTGTTTGATCTGTAATTTATTTTACTCCTCCATATTAAAATGTTTCCTTTTTTCTAATTACTTGATAGTTGACAAATGGTTTTGTAATAAAAACAATTGTTATTAAATATTTCATAAAAATTAAATTTTGAAAACAAAATATAAAAACTAAGGTGTGTGCTTTAGACCACGCTATATAATATAAGTGAAAACATCAACCTCGGTCAGATTAATAATATGAAATATAAATAATAGCTCATTACAAAGAAGATGAAATGCTAAACATTTCCCTTGCTTACAGATCCGACTTTTAGTATCTGAAATATTTTAATCCATTGGTTCAACCAACCTTATCATTTAGTTTTCAACACTATTTTTTCCTTTTCGCCTCCCTAAGATAAAATTTTGAATTATAGTCTATTACAGAGAGAATGAAATACTAAACAATTTCCTCGCATACAGTATGTAGGCCCGAATGATAGTTTCTGAGGTATTTTAATCCATATGTAAAACTATTTTAATTAGTCGGCTCTAGCCTACTTTACCCGAGCATTAATGCCGAACGAAATCAGACGGATCAATCTAATTCACTCTCCACAAAAAAGTACAAAACACGACTAAAGAAGTTTTTACATCAATAATATTAAATTGTATCTTATCTTGTTTCCTATTTTTAAAAAATATTAGAAAAAGTTTTGTAAAAGAAAATTATTACTAAATATTGAATAAAAACTAAGTTAGAAAAAAATATTAGATCAGTTAGATGTATAGGAAGCGTATCTCCTACAACCACTCACTCTAACCAAGAGAGACTCCGAAACATTGTATCGGTCAGGGCCTCTCAAGGTTCAACCAAATATGAGATTAAATATTGCTCGATATAGCCCTAACTATTGCAATTATATTGACACTCTTTCAATAATATTGAAGGAGCTTCAATACAAATTAAAAGAAGTTTATATCAACCAGTTTGACTGACGTCAATATAGTTATCAATGTAGCCCTTCAACAGTCAATATAGATTCTATAATATTGACCATGTAAGGGACCTTTTAGAGGGAAAAAAACACCTAGCAAACGTAATACTTCTTTTACTGTTTTAAAGTTTTATGCCTTCGTCATAATATTCAGTTTATCAGAGCTAAGAAAAAGAAAATATCAAAAGAAAAAAGAAGAAAAGATCATGAATGTCAGCATATTTTAAAAGAGGTTTCACACGTCTTATTTTTTCTCTTTCTTGACTACAGGCAAATTTTATTTGATTATTCCTGTGGTCAATCGTATCACCACCATTATTTAATCGTAAGTATTACTAAATAAATCCTACCTAAATTTTCTTTAACATTCAGTAATTCAGTGACAGAATGCTTTCCCCTGTATGAAAACTTCTGAATATACATTGGAGCAGAATTGAAAGATAAGTGCAATTTAGCAAGCTTACTGATTCCAGCCAAAAAGTAACGGTCTCCAACCATCTGTAACAATGCCAATGATTAAGTACTAATGTATGATGATATTTTTCAAAACAAAAGCTCTATTTCTACCACATTAATTTTATAATGAATATTTCTGTTTGTCATATAAAATTATATCATATAATTCTGTAAGATATTATTCATGTTGACTAAGTCTGTGAATTAATAAAATAAAAGGTTAAAAACAAATTTGTGGTTATATCAGCAGTGATAAAAATTTATGAACCTTGATTAAATTTTTACGACCATTGGTGATATCATCAATTTTGTAATACTCTCTAATTTTTCTGCTTATTTCCATTTTATCGAATGATTCTTTGAAATTATAACCCATCATATGAGGCATAAGTTCATCCCAGCGGTTCAGCAATTCATTGAATAATTCAGCGTTACTAACAATATCTGCAAGTAAATAAATTGATCAATATAATTATATCTAACGATAAGAAGTTTCCTTATATTACAAACATTATCAAAGACAATAGTCCAGTCAGCGAGTGCTCTAAAAGGGGGTATAGAGGAAAATAGAAATACAATTTTTAAATTCACGGATCAAAAATTTTTTTTCACACCATTTGAAGTAGAGAAATTACTGCGCATATTGTAATTCTATACTAGAGCCTTAGAGTCCAGAATAGTATTTAATGATACCAAACCATTTACTTTTAGAGAACTACGGATGTTATAAAATATAATACATAATACATATTACTTATTTAATCATTACTTATACATTTAGTACATACTATTTACATATAAAAATGTAAATACTTTAAAAATTTAGAGCAGCAGAATAACAATAAATAAGAAAGTTACGTTTTGCTGGAAAATCTTGAAATTAACAGATAAAATTATAATTGCTTAACATTTTGAAAAGTTGAAGATAAGGTAGTAAAATAATATATATTCTTAAAGACAATTTATTGCTCGACTTTCTTCTCCATGACTTTTTTGTTGAGTAGGCAAGGCAAAATAAAATAAAAACGCGAGGCAAAACATTTTCATTTTTTTTTCCTAATCAGCGTTTATTACGATTGGATATCTCAGAAACTATGTGAGATGGCGAAATAATGAATATCGTCTATCTTGTTGGAAATTGTATTAGATTTAAATTTGTAAAGAACTTCTTTGTAGCTAAGATGTATGGTTTTGCTAATATAACAGCTAAACTGAAAAAAGTGACCTTCTGGGTGATCCTCCACGTCGGGCCCACCTTCTAGGAGTGGGGACTTTTAGTATGTTTATCTCGTAACTAATCAGAACAAAGTCCTAAAGTTAAAAATAGTGTTCTGTACATTAACCTTACATTCATTGACTGGACTAAAAGTGTTTTAATACACTCTCTGAAATACCTGTAACACCAACTAAGCCTTCATCAGAGGTAAAAGATATTATCATAGGAACATCAGCTGCAGCTCTTCTCCCAATAATATTTATTGGTTTCTCTGAAATAAAAGCATCTGGACCTACAGGTTCAATGACAGGTCCAAAGGGAACCATGGGGTGTGATCTCCAAACCTAAAAAATAAATGACATACAAATGAATAAGTTTGCAATGAAAACCAAACCCTCAAATCATCAATGTAAGCTTTATTTAATTCAAAACCATATAAGAGGTTACTTTAAAAATAATTTTTAGTTGTGATTACATTCAATAAATTTTTTACTTTCACTTACCTACATATGTAATATATAATAAGGGGAAGTATTGCGATTGTGAAAATTTTTGAATCTGAGTTTTCAACGGAAATATCGGTTTCGAGGTGCCCTGAGTCTAAATAACCAAGTCCCGAAAAATAGTCTGTGTATGTATGTGCTAAGTCTAGCCCAAAAATGAAAGTGACATCACCTATTTAATACAGGTGAATGCTTTGAATGTGACAGCAACTTTTTCATTAAAATCACAACTAGCCGGAAGTGGCACTTTATATCAACGCTGAAACACATTTTTACAATTTTCTCAAAAACGGCATCTACAATTTTGATTAAACTCAGTGTATCATTGTATAATTAAGTGGTTTTTAATATTATTGAGGTCTTATCCCCATTGATGTCACTTTACAGGACTTAAGTGCTTAAATGTTCAACTTATCTCACTCTAAAGTACCTTTAATTTGTTTTATTTTAAATAACCAACCATCTCTAATTATTACGAAAAAATGCTAAATATAACTTTTGAAACAATTTGATAATTGAAAAATGGAGAAAAAAGGGGAAGTGTTTATTTAGGTCGAAAATGAATTTATTCGAAGAGAATTTTAGAAAAACAATATCTAATATAGAAGGTAATGGAGAGTGATGACAAATTATAAATAATAATTTGTGAAAACTAATATTATTTAATGGAAATCACATGTTTTTAAGGAAATTAAATGAAATTTTATAACTCTAAACTTTTTTAATTTTGAAAAAAAAAGTATTTAAAATCCACGTAATCAAGGCAATGGTATTGTTAAAAAAACTATTTCATAATACTTATGTGAAAGAAGAAGTGAAATATAAAAACATTTAATGGATGAATAAAGCATGTGTTTATAACCTTAAATACATTCACTGTAGTTTAATAACTCTAGATTTGACATTATATTTAAATAATTAGTTATCTATCCTCCGTTTATTCTGAAAAATCATCACGTAACCTTTTAGAAAATTATATTAATGAAAAATTTGATCAATTTTCCCTTTGCGATATTTCAACAGAATCCACTTACAATTAGTGTGACAACGTTTAGTATACTCAGCAATTTAACCCAACCAAAGTATCATATTTTCTGATAAATTTTCTTTGAGAGAATTCCATTTTTTTTTAACTTCTAGGTTTGAGACCAGAAAAGTAAACATTTTAGATTTTAGTTTCCCTTTAAACATAGTTTTCTAGGTCTTCTTACAGTTTTCAATTACCAAGTGTTTAACTCATTCTTTCTTCTTCCTAGCTGCTACAACTCACTAATGAATCAAGGCCTTCTAAATCAACCTCGGCTAGTCATCTTGGTTCTTTGTCGCCACCTTCCAGTTTCTCACACCCAACATTGTTCTGGCATCATGGGCCACTACATCTTCCCATCATAGTTTCGGTTTTTCAAGCTCCACTCATAGCTCATAAAAGAAAAGTTCAAAATTCGTTTTTTTATCGAGGTTATATACCATGTCAGACAGCCATGTTCGTCCGATATAATGTTCTACTTCCAACCAGCTTTCAATTACCATTACTTAATGCAAACATTATTCATTAAAAAAACAAAACAAATTATTATAAACTGATTATACCAGCAATCTACGAGCTGTAAAGAATCTGGCGATGCCAAAAACTTCAATTATAAGAAATGTTAAAAACCATGTTTTCGGACCGAGCACCTTAATTATAATAGGTCAAAATGGCATCATAAAAAAAAAATCTTGTATCCAAGCAATTTGCTGTCTCTGAGATAAAAGAACCTTTTTGCTTGAATAACATTAATTAAAATAATTTAGCAGTTTTTTTTGGTTCTGATAGTTTTGAAGTTGAATTACACCACGTACAACTATTAATTTTTGATTGATTGAACTGTTAACTTCTCATTTTTAATACACAAATATTTACAGAAATCCTAAGTTTCAATATAAAAATTTTGAAAAACATAAAATCAAAATGGGTACCAAAAGTTTCTTGGTCAATTCCACAATGTGTTCTGCTGGCCTATTTCTTAAACAATTTATCATCAGAAGAGAATCATTTGTAAGACAACCGAGTTCGTTAGCAATCATCTTGGCTTTTTCTATGGAGTTAGTTACTGTCATCGGATTCAAAGCAATTCCACTTAAGCATATGGCACCTTTGAACAAACCTTGAACAAAAATAATACTTAAGAATTTTTGAAATGTAATTAACACAACCATGATGGAAAACATCAATGAAACTGAGCATATTAAGAACTTTCTTCTAACATTTTATATAAAATATTCATATATATATTTATATAACCTTCATTTTACAAATTATATTACTGTTCATTTAATAGTACTACTAGTTGTTCGTTTTTTAATTTCTTTAAAAATCTATATTACACATCACGCCTTATTGTCAATTGATAACTGTAATAAGGAAGAAATAATTCTGGGAATAAGAAGTGCGGTCCATCCAGCTTTGCATATGTAAAATAAAATATGATACGGTCACTAAAAACAATTTTATAATAGATGGGAACTACCAGAATAAATTGTTATTGAAGGTGGGTCAGATATGCGAATCATCGGACTAAGGAATAATAAATAAATTATATTTAACAGTAAATATAAAAAGTAAATCATGTCGTTAAAATAAGAATTAATGAGAGGTTTATAATTTAAATAATTCATGATTTATGCTAAAAATCTTAGAAAAAAAAGAATATAACATACAATTTTTTAACACTGTGAGTATAAAAAAAAACAACTATATATATATAAAATGATTTTCTATCATAATACTATAGCACACAAGTTTTATTTGCAATTGAAAAGGTAATTATAATCAGCAAATGAGTGGCATTAAGAGATTTGTGGTATGGATGAACATAAATGAGATGGCAACTTAAGGCATTGACTAGATCCCACATCTTCTGAGACCTCAGACAGTGTACACAACATTTGTCAGTTAATGTGAATAATATAATGTATTAAAACAGTAACTATAGAATAATCACAAATATATTTTACTAACCTCTACTTAAAGGAGATAAAGTATGAAAATGGCAACTAGCTCCTCCTGCTGAAAGCCCCGCTATTGTAACTTTTTCAGGATTCCCACCAAATGCTGCTATATTTTTTTTAATCCATTGTAAAGCTAAAACTTGATCTTTCAAACCATTGTTTCCAGGTACAACATCATCCTCTGTACTAAGGAATCCTGAGACAATTTTTTTTATTTCTTAATGATATTTACAACTGTATTAAAGAAATACATTTAGTAAATTTGAACATATGGTTATAATGACGTGAAAACACTTGTTGAGAAACTACCCAATGGTAGCACTCTAATGATATGTCTACATTAGGAGATCACGGGGCCATCTTCTTTTCAGACGCCTCGGAGGGTTATCAGGAATTGAAGAGGAAGCACGGTCAGAAACGAGAGGGTTGGGATGATTCTGAAGTTTTTTTATGGAAGGATAGGTATCTGGATTGGGCTAGATCTGAAACATAAGAAACATTAAGGTCATTAAGGATGGTTTTATTTGTTACAAAGTGAGGAGCATTTAGGATTTTATGAAGGATTTTGGATTGTAAGAATTGGATACGAGAGGAATTCGATGGTTTAAGGATCCCCTTGGCTCAATTCCGTAAGTCTAAATAGGCCTTATTATAGTCATGTATATGAGTCTTTCGTAATTAATTGGAAGTTTAGAACGTTTGTCTAGTAAGTGTGTAATCGGAAACGTCGAGCGGTTTCTTGTCGCTTCAGTCTGGTATGAGGATCTGAGAAAATATAATGAAAATAATATAATTGTTGATAACAGTATATACCAAAACAGAAGCTGTATTAAATGTTTTCAAAAAGATTTGTATTTTAATTAAGGATATTATACAAAATAGAAAGTAACTAAACAACCAACAATTACTAAACTGGCAAGCTGTTACTAAACTGACAAGCTGTTACTAACATATATATTTTTTGACCATTGTAGTATCATCTTCTTTAGGCTTAATAGAAAATATGGAGAACTTTCGTTCACATAATTAATTTTGCTGAATGAATGCAAATGTACTTAAGCAAGTAATGCTAGATATGATAATGTTAATAATGGTCACTAAATGAGTTGAAAGGAAAATAGTTTTTGTATTTTAATCTTGCAATAATAATTTAATTGTGAAAAAAATTAATTTACAAATGAAAAGAAAATTATTTTAAGATACTAAAGGCATAAGTATTTTTTTTTAAACAAGGACACCAAATCTGGTTTTTTAAAAAATCTTTAGAAAATAACAATTTCTATTTTTTTTTTAATATCCTCCTTATAAAAATAATAAATACACACTTATCAATAATCAAATTTTATGTAGTCATGATGAATTAATTTTTGCATGAAAACTTTCAACTAAATATATAACTTAAATTAGCAGTATATACAGTGGTGTGACAAAGTCTAGAAACTAAATTCTCATAAAAATGGCAAATATTTCAATTTAAGTGTTTTTATCTTCTTAATTGTAAATTTATTTAACCTAGCAGACATTGCAGATGTAACATATATTGCCATTTTTTGTAATAAAAGTTATAAATATTAAATAGAAAAAAATTAATTATGAAATATGGAATGTTAAATTAAATTTCTTAAAAAAGTGGAGAATTCAAATATTAGAACAATTTTTACTGATAAATTCAACTTTCTATAGTTTATACAAAGGCTCTTGAACATAAAAATAAAGAATAAAGACTGTAGTGGATAACAAAGTAATGAAATTTAAACAATAAGATATCAATATTCAGCTCCTGAAAATAACGTTAACACAACGGATTGGTCCCTTGGGTTGTTGTTAATTGAAAATAATGCTAATTTAAAATATATATCACATTTACAATGTCTGTAATGCTAAATCAGTTTACAATTAAGAAAATAAAAATACTTTTTAATTGATATATTTATCATTTTTATTATAATTTGGTTTGTTCAAAGACTTTTTTCTGAGGAAGAATATTTAGTTCATTTGTGTAAAAAATATATCCACATAAAACAAATAAAATTAATTCAGTGGTTGGCAATAAACCATGAATATAAACCAGTTTTGTATTTTTACATTTGACTTGTATTTGACGATTCAGGATCAATTTTTCAAATCATCAGAACTATCCTTGTTATTCATTTATATAAATTTCCATGTAAGGTTAGTTCTGACGATGGGAAAGTGGATCGTCCAAAATAAGTATAATGTAACTAATAAAAAATTTGTTTGCATTTATAGAAGTTTTTATAGCCAACCTCTGAATAAATTCAACAACTTCCTAGCAAAAGAAAAATAAGTAAAAAAATAAAATAAAATTTTTGTGAGAATATATTCTAAATTAATTTCAATTTTACATTAATTGACTTTGCAGGATATAGAGGAATTAATTATATATCATCGGTTTATTGTAAAAAATCACTAATTGTAAGTATATTTTTGATGGTACTGGACTTTTAATTATTTATCTGTGAATTTCAACTTTATTTATCACTAAAAAAATATAGTATGTGCACCAAAATCACACAAACTCTTTTAAATATTAAATTGAATTACAAAATGAGTACAACAATATAATTTCACAAACTGATGATATCTTTTTTCTTTAAAACCTTAATTTGTAACATTTTACTATGCCAAATAATATAAAAGTAATCTAATCAGGTTGGATTGTTTACCTAAAGGTCCTAGCCTGTAATTGAATGTAACCAAAAGAATATCCCTGTCAAGTAGCACAAAAGGTTTGTATGATAGTGACTTTCCAGTTACGAATGCACCACCATGAATGAATGCTAGAACATCTAGTAATTTAGGCTTCTCTTCACCTGTTGGCAACTAAACGCTCAAAATTAATTGCATTACTTATAACAACATATTCATTAAATGTAAAATATTTAAGTGACTTACTTTAGGGGTGTATACATTGATGAATAAGCAGTCTTCTGATCCTGATAAAACAGGAGGGTGAATAAAGAAATCATACTGCAAGCAAATTGGGGGTTCTCTTGTAGCATTTAAGATACCATACCATGGATCAGCAGCTATAGGCTTCTATATTAAATGACTGAAGTTGCAAATATATTATAATAACCTGCTTATATTATTTTAGAAAAAAGTAGTATAAATACCTTGAATCTGTTTTCTCCAATAGGAGGCTTTGCAAAAGGTATTCCTTCAAAGCTAGCAATCGAGCGATTATTGAGAGTCTTTAAATAGAATCCCTTAAGGGTTCCTTGAAATATTGTCACTTGAGGCTGATTCGAACATCGTGTAAGAGCAAATATACTTACAAAAATACACAAAAATTGAAAAGTAATCATGTTAACTTTTCCAAACACCTGACTGGCATAAGTAGATAAATAAAAGGAGATAAAACAAATAGAGATAAAAGATTACTACTACTGACCTTCTCCTTAAAATGCATACTTAAGGTAGTTAATTTTTTCTATTACCGTAGTAAATCATAGATAACAGGACACCATTTGTATCTTAATTTATGTAAAGATGATAACGGTATCAGAGATGATATATTCGTAGCATTCTAAACTTCAGAAACTTTTGAATAACTTCCAAACCCGCCAAAACCATGCGATCAGCTGATAAGCTATCAGTGATAACTGTTCTTGACTAGACTGTATTGGAGGGAGAAGGAATGCCGAGGTTATTGATAAGCGGGAAGTTCAATTTTAACTCTCGCTTACAAGTATATATAATATGTAATAAAAGAAAATATTTCGATCGTGAAAATTTTCGAATTTGAGTTTTCAACAGAAATACATGTTTTGAGGTCTCCTGAGTCCAAATAACTAAGTACCGCAAAATTGTCTATGTATGTGTGTATGTATGTTGACAGTAGTTGAAAAATTAAAAGTCGTACGAAAGCGAAATTGCATATTTAAGTTTTGTATATGCCTTGGATTTTACAGTAATATTTTAGTCAAAATCGTCTAAGAGGAATTGGCCCTTTATATCATGGACTAAACACATTTTTACGATTTTCTCGCAAACGGCTCTAATGATTTTGATTAAATTCATTATGCTATTGTAAAGTTAAGCAGTTTTAAATAAAATGTAGGTTTTATTCTGATTAATGTCCTCTAACAGTTCATAAAAGACTAATTTTTAGTATTATCTTCACCTAAAGTACTTTTAATTTTTTACTTTCCTACCTATACTAGCTAAGGAAAGTATTGCAATCGGGTCAATTTTCTGACATACGTTTCAGAGCCTCCTGAGTCTGAAAAACACATTTTTAGCCATTGGTCTGTCTGTCTGTGCCAAGATTTTCTCGGGAACTACTGAACCGATTTTGTTGCTTCTTTTTTTATTTTGTAGCGTTTTGACTACTGATGCCTGTGACAGAAATTCGATGCTCCATGCGCAATACCTTGTGTGCAATATATGAAAAACATGTTTTCTATAGACTGTAGCGCAAAAACGGCTCTAACGATTTTGATGAAACTTTCCTATAATGTTGTGATCATTTTTCCTTCAATTTTCGTATATAGACTAAATTCCCGAAAAAAATCAGGAAAGAAAGTTATAAAGAAAAGAAAAATGTTATGGGGCCTAACTCCTTAAGTATATATTATACGGTAAAATTTATAATACAACTTTTCAAAGGTAATTAGATTACCGACAAAATAAAAAAAAATCATCGGAATCGAACCAGTATTAGCGATGATACAGCTTATTCTTTTTTTAACGCATTTTTTTAACTTATTACTTTCCTAACTATACTAGTTAAGGAAAGTATTGCAATCGGGTCAAATTTCCGACTTGCGGTTTTCGACGGATCTATATGTTTCACAGCCCCCTGAGCCGTTTAGCCTATCGTTTGAAAAGTAATGAATTTCCCTACCATATAAAGCCATATAAAAATCGTTCAATTTGGAAAACTATTAACGAAGTTGCAGCTATTCAATTTCCAATTTCATATCCTGTTGTCAGAAAAGGTTGAATTAGAAAATAAAGATGACTAAGTGATAGTAAGAAAATCTGTTGCCCGCATCACACAATCTTCACTATTTCCTCTACTTTTAACAGAAATTATTGTTTGACAATACTAAGCTATGCCAAAAAGTTTTTGATGAGCAATATTAGGAAGTATTAAAATTTTTACACTGATCTACCTTAAGCCGGTCTACATTGCTTTAGTTTATCAAATAAATCGTACTCAAATCTTATGTTTGATCAATTTTCAGGAAAATGTATCTAGTTCAATTCTTTTTTGTTTCTTTATGAACATATGTAAAGATATAAAAGCTTTTCTGAAATAGGTAGGAAAGTCGTGTGAGTGGACACACCAGATATTTTTTATTTGAAACAATTGACCATATCACATTAATCTCTGATATAAAATATAGTTAAATATAAAATATGAAAGAATTTTATTATTAAATAAAGGAGAAATAAGAGAACGTAACGGAGAATGGTTGTAATTGAGAAACCAAAGGAGCTCGTCCGAAAGATTAGAACACGCTTCCACATTTTTCCACATAGATTTTCACACTTTTCTCGAAAATAGCTCTAATGATTTTGATTAAATTCGTTATATTAGTTTAATACTAACCAGTGTTTAATATAATTTAGATATCATTGTCTTTGATACTCCAACAGGGCTTAAATGTCAAGTTTTCAAAAATTATTCCTCTAATGTACCTTTATTTTTTTTTATTATAAATAATTAACCATTTCATGTTGTGACCTGACATAAAAAAAATGTTGAAATATAAAATATGGAAACATTTGAGAATTAACTAAAGGAGAAATAAAGGATCGTAATAATAGAAAACCGAAGAAACCCGAGCTTGGCCGAAAGGTCAGAATAGGTTTCCATACGTAACACTTTTCTAATATAATGTGCGATCCGTTAACATGCATATAAATTTGCGGTTTTCATAAAAATCGCACATGTATATTCAAATTAGTTGGTATTTAATGTTGAATTGTATAGATCACAGCAATGTAAAAAAATTGTATATTTTCCAATGCTTGAACAAATAAAAATACCTGCAATGAAATATAAATAAATATAGCGGAATTTTTTATTAATAGCACTCCTGTCGGACTGAAAATATTTCGTGGCATTTGATTATTTATTATCAAATAAATAATTTAAATATACAAAATTAAAAGGTATTATATATATATATATATATATATATATATTTGTACTTATGTATTGTGTTATTTGTGTACGAATGCAAGCAATCTCCAACCATCTTCTCTTGAACAATTTCTTTACTATCATATAATAAATAGTTCATTATATTCTCGCTGGGTACACCACCGACCGCTGCTTTTTAAATATGAGGGTATCTTATAGTCAATGTAATATTTACTTGAATTTAAAGGTATGTCTAAAAATTAAGGATACTTTCGTCTAATTATTTCGGAGTCGTACAAATAATAAAATGACCGTGGCAGTACGGAATTTACTAATGGTTTTATTATCAGTAATATTATCAATACGTACTCACCCAATAATAAGCGAAATCCAGTAAAATACTAAAGCCAATTAGGATTTAGATAACACTAAAAAGGCGTTCATCAATGATAACATTTAATGGTGTAAATTTAAAGTTATAAGGAACAAGGAAAATGGAATCGCAAATAATATTTGCGTTGTTAAAAAATTCTACTAGGTACATTAATTTCTCACCATTTTTTTTACCGTAGCACCTTTGTTTTGTGCAAAACATTTTTGTTGTATTGGCAGAACATTTTTGTCAACGCAAAAAAAATTGTTGCATTTTTGTCATACTATAAAAAATTCATATCACTGCTATCCTCAAAGCGGTAATATAATAGAATCATCAATTTTAATTATGTTATTAATGAATGAATAAATATGAATTTAATTGTTTCATTAATGATCCTGAGGTAACCTTATAGAATTTTAAAATCAGCTGAACAACTTTAATTGCTGCCTCAGTATGTTTCCGAATTCAATTTTTCAAAATGGCCCAAGATGCGCCATCAAAATTTTTGAGGGAGGCCATATTTTGACGGTTTTTTTTTTTAATTTTTCAGGGGGTCAAATTTTGACGGGATTATGAATTTTCGGACTAAAGAACAAGGGGAAAACATGGACCATACCCGAGCAAGTGTAATTGTATATGATCTACGATTTTTCTAATTCTAACTTAGCTTAGCTAAGCAACTCTGTTTTTAAGAAAAGTGAGCAATCAAATGTATTAGAAAGGGTAGAGGCACTTGCGCCATCCACCTTGGGGGGGGAAGGGAGAGGGTATAATTTTTAAAGTATAATTTTTTTTAAATATTTTAAAAAAAAATTTTAATTTAAATTCTACATAACAAAGTGTTTTTTTCATAAAACACATAAAAGATGAGGAACGTATTATTTTAACAAATACTAATAAAATAATGAAAACTTTGAGATGGTGCTCAATGACGATACAGGTAGCTTGTCAATGCCAGAACAAAATATCAATAGAGTTGTCACTTGGAATGAGGATGAGGAAGATTTCATGGGAGAGAAGGAAATAGCAGATGCAATTGACAGCCTGGAAATGGGCAAATCGCCAGGAATAGACGGTATAACCCCCGGAATGCTGAAGTATATGGGAGCAAAAGGGCAGAAAATGTTTCAGCATCTACTGAATTTGGTATGGAAAAAGAAAAAAGTACCCAAGGATTAAGAATAAAGAGGTATATACCTGCTTTGTGGACATAACCCAAGCATTCGATAAGGTCAGAAAAACGGACATAAATAGCATAAATAGCATCTGAACGAGCATGAAGTCAATTAATGCCTAACGAGGTCCATTCTTAGCATATATAAAAAAAAAAATAAGCGTGATCAGAACCAATAACCACACATCTAGGGAGTTTCAGAGCACCCAAGTAATAAGGGCTGTAGTCTAAGCCCATTATTCCATATCCATTCGATATCCAGAGAGCACGTGATTTACAGTAACTGGACGCGATCACGTTCACTCCCTCTCTATCAGGCTCTTTCCAGATAGCCCTGGAACCAGGGCCCAAAAATCGACCTGATCGCAGGCGAAGGCTTGATTGTGAATTACGAAAGCTTATGTTATTCTGAGTAAAAGAAACCTTGTCTGCCGTTCCAGAGCCGCTGCTTTCAAAAATGGCGGCTGATTTAAAGAATATTAGGCCAATAATTTGAGGATCGAAACGGGAAATCCATTGCGAAAAATGTGAGAAAAGTTTTTATTTTTTTAACTTGTATATATGGATTTAGACATGTAAAAAACAAAATTGCTAACGCGGGCCACCAAAGTAAAACTTTTTACAGCCAAAAAAGTCCGCTTTTTTCGATATTTTTTGGGTTTTTCACCTATAACTCATAAAAAATGCATCGAAACGAAAATTTTTTTCTTTAACAAATTAAAAAATGTTAAATTTTGCGTCAAACGATAACAGAAACATTAAAATTTGGTTACGCCGTAAGGTATAAAACCACGG